CCAGGCTACTTTTCCAGCTGCACCTCATGTAGTGTTTCAGAGACTTCCTATCCTGCTTGGGTAGATACACACATTCCTCATAGTTTTCCTTCTATTTCTTCCTTATTTATTTTTTCAACTGCTGTGAAAAGAATTTCACCAAGGCCAGAAAGATTATTTCTGAATTTCCCTCTGATATAGACCCTGGTCTTTGCTAATAATGTTTAACAGTTTTGTGTCTGTCAGAATTGCTCCAATTCTACCCTTTCTTTGTATATTTTTAATAGTTTTACTTTGTTATTGTCATTCCATGTGGTAGTGAAGAGAGAGGAAAGACTTGCCCTGAAGAAACATGTTTTAATGAAATTTAATAAATAGGCAATTAATCCTTCAGCAAGAGAAAGCAATGTTTCTCTTCAGGAGGACGTACCACAAAACAAGATGTTTCTGTTTTTAACTTCTTGATGTCTATAATTGCCCCCAATAGAAATGTATGTTAGTGTGTCTGGTAGCTGAAACATCCATCCAATCTGTCACAGTTTGAGTTCTTAAAACTAATGAGTTTGTGTACTTGTTTAATTGGGATCAGTTACACGAAGATCACTCAGGGCTTTGGCACTTTGTTACTGTATCTCTCTTTCTGCCCAGGAGTCATGAGAGAACTTGGGTTTTGTTTTGCTTTCTTTAAAAAAAGAAGCAGATACTCAGTATACACAGAGTCTGCATGTACAAGATGAGTAAAATCCTCATTCCTGGTATCCTACCTGTACGTCAGGAGTTCTTGCTCAAGAATCTTCTTTCTGGGTGTTCTTTGCGTCCTTGTGAAACTCCATGTCTGCGTGTGGTGGTTTCATTKTGTTAATAGAAAGGGCAAGAGGGCAGAGGACTTGTTCTACCAAGAGCTGGTGGAGACTCACCAAGCACTGGAGCAAATCTTACTGAGAAGTGAGGTCATGTTTCTTCCCTACTGCCATTCCAGCAGTCATGGGACCCTCATCTGAGACCCTGCTCTGAGCTCCTGATGTGTGGGATGGGTATGTGACTGGGATTGCTGAGCGTCCCTCTTTATCACAGCTCATCAGTTGTCACCTTCACAGTGCCACTGGTGACGGTGTCTTACAAACCATCCTGTTCCAGGAATGGGTCTTGAATGGTCCAACGCTCCTCCAGTGGATGCTGTGGACCTTCTCTGGTCAGAGCAAGTCATTCTTTAACAATTCAAATTCTTGTTGTTTACTTGCAACTGCCTCTGAAAATAACTAGGAAAACTCTTTCCCAGTTGTTTCCCTTTCTGTTGTTCCCTCTGCTCCCATGATTTCCATGATTTCCCATTACCKTACTGGAAAAGGCCTGTGTTTTCCATGCAACGCTACTTATTTTGTGGAAAATGTTAAACTTGCACATCCTGTGTTTTTGCGCTACCCACTGTAATGCAATCTCTCTGCTGAACGAATGCTTAGTTATTTACCCAAAGGATCGAACCCTCTCCTGTGTTCCAGGCAAGTGCTGGGAGCCAGTGAAAAAAAGTCTTTGTTCCAAGATCTTCCCTTGTGCTGAATAATCAGAAACTCGTTTCCTTGCCTTGCCAACAGGGTATGTGCAGGCGTGTCGAGCGCTGATGATCGCCGCCTCGGTGCTGGGTCTGCCGGCTATTTTCCTGCTGATAACGGTCTTGCCCTGTATCCGGATGGGCCATGAGCCTGGAGCTGCCAAGTACCGGCGTTCCCAGCTGGGAGGAATCCTCATCATTCTCCTGGGTAAGGTGCCTGTCCGCCACACGGGCACGCGGAGCGGGCGGTCTCCCTCAATCCCAGCCCTGTGCAGCACTTGTCCCTCATCAYGTTCACATGAGGGACGTGGTTGTCTGGGCTGGGCTGATGCTGGAGAGCTACCTCAGGGCCATGGTCTACGGGGCTGACGAGGTGCGAGCGTGAGGCGGGAGGGGAGGGCTGCGAAGCCCGACTCTGCTTTCTCTAACGGAGTCCCCTGGCATGGAGCTGCCGCCTGTGTTGGCGGAGGGCGGTGGTGGCGACGCGCAGGYGGCCGACGCGCCCGTGAGCTGCCGTGGGAGCCCTGCTGGTTTTGGGAAAGGGTCTAGATTCCCAAGCTGCTCCCAGCGCATCCTCCTGTGTTGTACGTGTCCCCAAGGCCAAGCAACAGAAGGGAGGCCCATGGCTCCGAGCGTGCTGCCTGTCCTGCAGGGACACCAGGGGAGAGGAGGAGGGGACACAGAATGGCTGTCCCATCCCATCCCTCTCTGCATCACCAGCCTTGCCCTCGGCCTCCCTGTCCCCTTGGGAATTTCTTCCCGTCCTCGGTGCCTGCAGGGGGGATTGTTTGGAGCAGCTCGGAGCTGTGGAGCTCATTGTCCCAAGTGCAGCACCTGCATGTTCTTGAGGCCTCGTCATCTCGACCAAGGCTGCGGGGCCTTGTTTTCACCCGCTTGTTTGGCAGACGACGAGGGCTGAGGGAAAGTGGCCTCTTTGTGCGGCTCTGCCGGCTGCTGGCAACCAGCACTGACATCATGCTTGTCGTCTTCTCTCTCCTTCTCCTTCTCCTTTGCTTTTCTTTTTTCACAAGTGGGCCTGGATGTGGCTGCTGCAGCGCAGGGAGCCAGGGCTGTTGCTCGGGGAGCTGCTGCCTTCGCACACTTGGGCGAGAGGCAGAGGGAGCCAAGGAGGGAGCCAAGGCCAGGGCAGCTTGGGGTTTCAAAGAGACATTGCCACAGCTGGAAAATCAGAAATCAGGATTTTAGGCTTTCCAGGGCCTTTATAGAACCTCTCAGGCATGGACAGCCTTCCTGAAAATCCTCATTGTGAATGTTCGGCTGCTGACATGTGGGAGCTCGCCCCATCCCAAAACCCTGAGCAATGTATTTGGGCTTGGTGAAGCAAGGCTGAACCTTCCTCCAATTCCTGTGAGCAGAACTGTGGGACACAGTGACCGAGCCCCCGATAGTGTGGCACAAGGGTGATCCCAGCAGAGCCGCTCTTTGCAACGTGACTTCTCCCTCGCAGCCCACGATGCTGCAGAGGAGCCCCGATAAAACGCTCCTCCTGGATCTGGTTCTCCCACACGGCAGGATGAGAGGAGCTGAGAGATCCCAGCAGCAGGATCAGCACTTGTGGTGACAAAATTGCCGTAACCTGTGACAGGCCAAGCTGAAATCCTGGYCCCTTTTTTTGGTGAAATACCGAGGGTTTTGGGTCTAGTGAGCCACTCTCTTGCTCTGTTCTTGCTGTGGTGTTACACCAATGAGGGGAATGGGTGTAAGAGAATAAATGAGAGGAGTTTTAGTGCTCCATGAGCAAGAGGAGAAAAAGAGAATTGCTTTTTTCGTGAGATTGCAAATAAGCAGTGTTTGTCAATTTTGCTCTGATGGGCTACAGAACAATTTTTTTTCCTTTTTTTTTACAAAATCTAGATTTTTTCCAGGCCAATTATCAAGACAATCCCTTAGAAGAAGGGTAATGTATCGGACTTGGGACTTAGACACTATTTAATCTGATTAATGATTTGCTATTTGAAAAATGAGATGTTGCCATTTCAGAGCATTTAGTAAGTATGAATTAGACATCAAAAGACATAATACTGACCTAAAAGTCACAATATTCTAGAAATAATATGTCCTGGACTGTTATTTCTTACCTTCTGACTGCTAAATTCTCATTCATGGTTTTTAGCATTTTCTCCTCAACCATAAGGGCTCCAGATATATCCTCTAAGTGGATGTTGACTCCAGGGGTCTGGTTAAGAAAAAACGCATACAAACACACGCACAAAAAGCAAAAGCAAAAATACATACTGACATAACAGATATATTGAAAATGGAGATCTGATCATGGGAACTGGTCCTGTGACAAATGATACTTGTCCAGGAAAAGCATGGCAGTTTATCACTGAAATAGTTAAAACAAAAAGCAGAAGCTGAAAACACAATGAGAAACCAAATTAAAAAAAACAAAAAACAAAAAACAAACTTCCCAGGAAAACCATGTGCTCAAATATTCAAATATTCCATGGGTTTTACTATGCACTGATAACAGCAAGCTGTGGAGCGTGACATGCGTGTGCACACCCTGCTATCCTGCCTGCTGATGTATTTATGACTTTGCTTCATCCTATCTGCCCAAACAAATTGATTTATTGCTGAAAACAGCTGTCAGCAGCGGTTCCCTCTGAACTAGTATGAAAACATTGCAAATGGTGGTGTTGATGGAAAAAACTCTGGTCCATCCTGTGTTGTTGGTACTAAGTCAGGGGACCGCTTGCTGGTTAGCAGGAAGCCATTTTCCWGGTGGAGGTGAGGGACCTGGGACGCTGAAAAACACAGCTGAAAAATATATCAGATATCAGCAATTACTACTGCAAAATGACAGTGTTAGCTGTGTAAATAAAGGTCTGTAAAAGGTTCCTTTGGACACTGCTTTCCCTCAGAATAGTCGTCTCTTGAGAGCCAAGGTTTGAATGTGGATTTGAACGTGGATTTCTGTGATTTTTTTATAAGGACTGCATCTTTTGGTTTGGGGAGGCTGATCCTCTGCTTGGTGCAGGAGATGGAAGCACCTCTCCAGGCTGCCACGTGTTCTCTGAGCCGAGAAAGAGCTCAAAAATGTTTCTGTGCTGTGCACAAGGCAAAATGACTTGGCATTTTTGGGGAGTGGGCCACTCTCAGTGGATACAAGGATGTTCCCCAAGGTTATTTTGCTTGCATGAGGCTTGCTCATACAACCATTGATATCAGGAGAGAACGATTGCCTTTAACACGCAGAATCCCCCCCCACGTCCGTGTATCTGTTATTTCTTTGTGCAAGAACAAAAACTTTGAAAGAGAAATCTGCATGGCTTGCAGTTGGCTACTGGGAATAACTAAATCTATCTGTGAAAGAAAAGTATACTTTCTTCAGCAGATAATTTCTCATGACTTATTGCTGAGGAACTTGGCAGGGACTCCCTGTCCCTTGAGTTAGATTAATACTGCTCCACCTTTCCCACCTCCTCAGGCACCTTCTGTACTTCCCATTTGCTCGTGCTTCCTTCTGGTTAAATTATGCCTGTGATGCTAAATTTTAAGAGTTTCAGTTCAATGGACTGAGCCACTGTGGGTCCATAATAAAAATAAATAAAGAAATAAGGACATAGACATGTTGGGAGGCTGGGATGCGGTCCTATGACCTTACAGAGATCTGGGGGAGCCAAGGATAATGCACGATATTTTACTGAAATGAGCCTTGTTGGTAAATGCAGTGTTTTTTACTAGACTGCCTACCCTTGCTGCAAAAAGCAGGCAAGCTTTCTAGTATGGATTCACCCCCAAAAAATGTCTGTTTTTCCAATAAATCTATTTGGCCTAACAAAAAATATTCCCTCTCTTTGCAGACCTTGCCTCACTTGTGCTAGACTACACTGACTGCAACAGCTCTACTGGCTGCACTCCGTTTTAGTTAGGCTGAGGCAACGAGTCCCTTTGCATTAGCACAGGAGAGAAGCAGTCATGATTTATACATGAACAGCTCTTCCTTGTGCGGAGCCTCTTGTGGAATATGCTGAAACTTGCCCTAAAATGTCCTTTGCAATCCCCCCAGCTTGCTTGCCTGAGCAACTCTTCGGTTGCAATCTGAGCGCACCTCAGCCTGAAAGAAATATTGCAGTTACAYGCCGTCCTTTTCCCATCTTCCTTGCAGGATTTGCAGCCAAGTTTAATCTATGCAAGCCCAGGGCGTTCCTCTCTCTGGGCTGTGGGGTCACGGATGGCAGCCAGTGCTGTCCAAACGTGGAGAGGTCGCACTAGCCCATGGAAGGCCCCTGACTTCTCGTAGCACCGAAATGGTCAGTGTTAAAATAAGCTGGGTTTGCCTGTCGCTCAGCCACACACACAAGAGCAGCTATTGTATTAGTGCCCTTGAGAGCTCTTCTGTGACCCTGTGTTGTGGAGGAGGGTCTGAAAAGATAAGGCTCTTATAGTCTATGGACATAAATATATATATATCTCTATATGTGTCTATTGCTGACAGAGAAAGAAAAGATGATTGTGTCCTTTTGGACAACAATGAAACCAAAGAAACTATTTTTTCTGAAGCATTATAATGCTTTTCAGATTCCCAACTGATACATTTTTGTTGTAAAGCATTAGATGCTCATGAATTGTTTGCAAGACTCGAATCCATGCGCAGGATAAATGCTCTTCTCCTCTCTCTGCCTTCTCCAAAAAATTCCTTCCAAAGACGYGGGGCCTGTGCTTTGAGGAGGCCTAAAATTATTACTGGCTTTATTAGCATCCTTCAAATGTTCTTCTCTTTTCCGTAAGAAAATATTTTCTCTCATAATAGCTGCAGCTATTGGGGATGGGTTTTCTGCTATACTGGCCAGCAGTTCTAGTTTGTTCTCTGCTTCAACTAAACAGTCTTATTTTTTTCTCTCAGCGACTTTTTTTTTCCTCTCTTTCAACCTTAACTTTTTGACACTGCCTCAAGATATCTTTTAACGCGGTCGGTGGAAATCTGTCACGCTGCCACAGGCTTGTTATTGTTTTGCTCTGATTCCCTGATAGCCACAAGGATGGAGTCCTGCACAGCTTGTCCCCGGGGGAAGTAAATATTGACAGATTAATTCTCCTCAGATGTACGAGCCATAAAGGAGTATTGTTTTAGGACCTGCTCCGGCGAGGTGATTAACACCCTCCACTCCTGTTGCCCTGGGTGCATGTGGGGACCTGGCGGGACAGGGGCAGGAGCCGGCGGGGSCTCTGTGACAGGGAGCAGGTGGCCAAAATCTAGTGTCTTTTCCTACAAAATCTGAAGTCGGTGATTTTTGACTTGCCATTAGAGCATAGGTGGAATACTGCTTTCCCTTCAGAAAACTGTTTGTCTCTCTCACTTGCTGTAGSGAAAACTTTCCATACCGTATGGAATTTGTTTTCCAGAGTTACGTGACACTTCCTTCTCCATTTTTTTTTAAGCCTGTAGTGCTTGCTCCCTGCTGCTGCTTTTATCCCTGCCAGTTTTCCGCTTGTGTTTAGCGGAGCCTGCTCTGTCCTGTTAAGCGATGGGTAATTTCCTAAACGTTGATATGACCGTTCAGCTGGAGTGAGCAGAGTGATGTGAATTGGTGTGGGCGGAGGATGTAGTAAGTGGGTTAATTTAGAGCTGATTTACACCGAGGGGGTCCGAGACACAGATTTAACTGTGTCACCAATGCACATGGTTTTCATGGTTTTGCTTCTGTTTTAAGTTATTTCTAATTCTGTGACTCTCCAAAGAATTGATTTCAGGGATGACATTCATTCTCCACCCTTAAAAATACTTTTTTKGGGGAAAAATATTTTTCTTGTAATATACCAGGTTGGGTGAAGCAGCAGTTGTTTTTAATTCTTGTTTGCRAGGACTTGAGAGAGATTGCTGCTCTCCCTCAGTCCTCAGGCCTCCTGAAATCACACTTGCTCCCTTCTATGCTTGGATCCAGCGTGGGTGCTCCCCATCCCGATCCCATTGTGTCCCTGCAAGGGAATGGGGAAGGGCTTCCTCTCCGCTCTCCGGAGGGAAAATAACCCGTGGGAGGCTGCATCGTGTGCTTAGCAGAGCCATAGTGTGAGTCTCCAGCTGGCAAAAGGGCTCGAGTGCTTCCGCTCGTGTCCCTCTGCAGCTGCCGGGGGGTTTGGGAGATGGTGTCACCAGAGGTGTGAGGTGACAGCTGGGAATGTCGTGGCGCTGCCTCGCTGAGCGCCGCGTGCAGCCGCCCTTGCTCTCCCTGTCTCCTCAGCCATGTGCGGCGTCGTGGCCACCATCTGGTTCCCCGTGTGCGCCCACCGCGAGACCACCATCATGAGCTTCGGCTACTCGCTCTACACGGGCTGGATCGGCTCTGCCCTCTGCCTCTTCGGCGGCTGCATCATCGTGTGCTGCTCTGGCGACGCGCAGACCTTCGGTGAGAACCGCTTCTACTACGCCTCGGGCTCCAGCTCGCCCACCCACGCCAAGAGCGCCCACGTGTAGGCGCCCCGGACACGGGCCCGGCAGCGGCCGGGCGCTTGGGCGCCCGCGCCGGCTTTGCAGCTGCGCGCCAGCCCCGGGGGAGCGTTTAGAACAGCAGTGCGCGCCCGATAGTTTTAAAGCATTAGTGTCCCCGTCCGTGGCCCCCTGTTTCTAGCAAGAAACCTCCAGCAAACCCAATGTGCTCCGGCGCTTCCCACATTACCCCAGCCGCTTCTCCCCGCGTCTCCCCCGTGGGGTGGCCCAGGGGGCTGGGGGTGCGCGGGGGTTTGGCCTCCCGGCTCACCCCGTGGCAGGTTTAGAGCTTAAAGCCATAAAACAGAAACGAAAAGAGAGACTTTCCCAGGGYTAAAAGGGCTCCTCCGACCACGTAACTCTGCTTTCTCGTGTTCAAGGTCACCGCTCTGCCAAGGTCTGAGCGAGAGTGTAGGGAGGAAGACTGTACTCTCCAACCCCGCAAATGTTTCTCTTCTGGAAGAGTAGATTTGTTCTGCATTTGTTTTCCTTTCTCTGTAAATACTTTTGTATGAGACTATTCGTTTTAGTAACAGTGTTTCCCCTGCCCTCCAAGTTCATCAGTATGAAGGAAGCAGAACTCAAAGGTCCTAATTAGAAGGTAAATAACAGCACATTTGTACATATTTTAAAATGACTTAGGGGGCTCTAATCCCAGCTCTCTGTTCTTTTTTAAAAGTTTTTTTCTTTTTTTTTTTGTACAGTTACTAAAAATGTTTTTTTACATTTTTTTAAAAAAACTTTCTTTCCTTTCCATTAATTTCTGTTCTACCTTGTGTCATTAGAGTAGCACATTTTTAACATGCAGTATAATGTACCTGTTAAAACACAATTCTGGTGAATACTGATGATGCCTTTGTACTGTAAGTGAGATACTGTACAATAAATAACAGAATATGTGCAAACATCACCGCCTTCTTGTGTTCTTTCAGCGTTCCTGTGTGTTTCCATGTCTTGGATTTCCCAATGATTTTGAAGGTTTTTTTCTGTTGCAGCAGTTGAGAATGAGAGATTCTGCTCCATGGGGAGTTCAACAGGGAACTTGTGTTCCCCAGAGGTTTTCAGGGCCTGGGTCACTCCTGGCACGGTGCCGACTGCCCTGTCACACATTCCTTATTTTAACTTTCCCCATAGTCATGTGCACCCGGTTCTAATTCATGAATCYGTAGGGACGTTCCTGCACTTCGGCAGCAGGGCTGGGTTTTACCCAAGTTTCTAAGCCACGTTGCTGTAAGTATTTAAACTAAAATAAGAGCTGAGCCGGGGCCTGCAAAGAGGTCATCCCTCTCTTTGATTAAAAGCGTTTAAGATCAAGATCTAGCTCTGTCCTTACTAGAGGCCACAGCAATTTAATTACGTTGATACAAAACCCCATCTGTGCTCAGAGACGTTAACTCCGTTGGAACAATTTGTGTAAGCCAGGCTTCAGAAAGAGCGGCAATTCGGGAGCAGAGAGGGGAAGAATCTGGGTGTTTTCSCCTGTGGAAGGAGGGAGGGCTGAGCTGTTTTGGCTGAAGGGACGAGCTCGAAGGCCAGGTTTGCTGCTCGAGCCATGCTGGATTATGTTCTTTCTTCTCTGCCAAGGACTGAACCAGCGGGGCCTGGGCCTGCCAGGCCTCTCCTCCCGCGTGGAGGTGACAGCCAAACGCTGAAGGGGGAAGCGGGAGGACCATGGCAACCATGGCCCCCAAGCAGCCTTGAACGCGACTCCCTTGGGCGGCCCACGCGTCGCAGAGGGCCCCAAGCCCGGTTGTGCCCGGCCGGCCGCGCTGCCCGTTACGTCAGGCGGCGGGCACAGGCAGCCGTTGTGCGTGTGGCCGCACCGTCACCGTGGCCACTGAAGTGCGGGCACCGCGGCCATTGATGTGTGGGCAMCGCGGCTGCACCGTCACCGTGGCCATTGATGTGTGGGCACCGCGGCCGTGCCGTCACCATGGCTATTGATGCAGGGGTGCCCCGTCGGGAGGGCACCCTGCAGATGTGCAGCTATGGGTCTCAGACCCCCGCACACCGCATCACGGGCCACCCCAGGCCATGGGTGACACAGTGGCCCAAGGCCCGCAAACCGTCACAGTCAACCTGAGCTCGTTTTCTTTCTTTTTTATATTTATTTTATTTTTTTTTTATCGTGTAAACGGATAACCATTTTTTTTTATTTGTTTGTTTTCACAACAGTGCAASTCAATACCAAAATCAGCCTGTTTAAATGGATCTTCTACAAAGGAAATTTTGAAGCACTTAAGGCAAGGTCTGTTTGTCTTTAACTTCAATTTAGCTTTGAAAAAAAAATAAATCAGAGCTTCAGGTACTGCTCAGCTTAGCAAAATTGAAATTGCTTGAAGTTCCTTTTTCATTCTTTTTTTTTTTTTAATAGTTTAGTACTTCATTTAAAAGATTTACATCACTACAGAAACTGATACTAAGACACATTGTCTCTGGCTTTCTTTAAAAATCCTCTTTTTTAATGTAAAGGCACACAATAAAGCTTTATGCATTTATTAAAATATACACATTTTGGTAAATTTAGATTTTTTCCTTAGTATCTTGATAATATATATATTATATGCATAATTGTCGACAACACAATCATTTGAAAATAAAAAGCACTCCATAACATATCTGCATATTTTTTTTTCTTTCTTCATGACACACTACAAGATCCCATTGTACAGTGCACCAATGGGGGTTTGGAAACCACAAAAAGAAAAAAAAAAGAACTTTTTAACAAATACACCAATTTCATACCAGAACTGCAGAGAAATGTTACACCAGAAAATACCATTTCCAAAAAAACGGAAGAAGAAAAAAAAGCAAGATATACATCAGAAAGAACAAACAAACTGAGAGAAGTAAAGATCATTTACAAGCTGACTTTGTGACAGCCGGTGTCCTCCCTCGGGGTGTGATGTCCCTTCTGCTGGAGGTGCTGGAGTGCTGGGTCTTGCAGCCGGGTGGTGGCAAATGGGTGGAATAAACCTGTGGAGGGGACTACGAGCTGAAGCTGCTCGGAAGGACTTGAGGTATTTTCGCTCCATCCATGGGGCACACGGGGCCTTTGGAGAGGTGTCTTCGTGGCCAGGAGCTGCATGGACCGCAGGGTTGTGTGTGTGGTGCCGTTGAGGTTGGGGAGGAATACGTGATACTCGTCTGCCTACATTTTCTTAGTGTACCACGTGTGGGAACATCTCCTTTTTGGGGCCCCAGACTGGAGCGATGGAGATTTGGGTCTCAGTGCTCACACCAACTGCCAGCATCCCTAGCCCCGCATATCTGAACTGTTCCCAGAGATGGAGGACTCCGGAGGTGGCTGACACTTGGAGAGTTTTGGACTTTGCTGCTTTCCCCTGAGCCTCTCCAGACTCCAGTTCACTCCAAGGGAAAGTGTAGGATTTCCACAACAGAAGTTGACCAGACCTGTGTTTCAGCCTGRCTCTGACATTCTTCTGTCTGAGGCTGAGGAGCTTCTGGCCCAGGTCTGGTGGTGGGACATCTCTCCATGCTTCCTGGAGGCCGCTTTGGGCAGTGCCATGGAACCCACTGCAGCCTTCTGGCGTGGCCAGAGAGACAGACCATGGGATGCTCTGGGAGAGGAATAACAACAACCAAAGGACCTTGCTCAAGGCATTGATCCAGTGCAAAGGTGCCTGCAGCAGCCAAAGAGCAAGGAAGCACTCGTCAGGCGACACGATGCAATGAAGCTGACACGAGGGCAGGTGCTGGTCACTGCTCTGTAGCAAGAGGTTAAGGCTGCGAAGGGACTAGCAGGCTGTGGTTCAACACGGTGCTTGGAGGGCACATGCTAGCGGGCACGCAGGTGCCTCAACACCTTGCAGAAGCAGGACGAACATGGCCACCTCCAACGYGACATAGAACAACAGCTGGTAGGAAAGCAATGTTGATCTGTCTCCCTGAAAGCATAAAGCCAGACCTGGGAGGTGCTGTCACTCCTGGGTGTTTCTAAGGCATCCATAATAATAACAGTGAAGCACAAGTGAGAGGCAACTCTTGCTAGCGGAGCTCAGACCACAGAAAGGTCTCACAAGCTGGTACACACATTAAAAACACGACTTTTCAGAGGGAGGTGCACATGGTTTCTGCTTGGAGAAGAGGGGTGGCTGATAAGAGCAGACACCAGATCAGAGTGTACAAGGTCCCCTCACAGACAGTGCCTTGTGCCCCATGCCAGTCAAGCCCTATGTGACACTGCACCTAGAGAGCTTGTCTCTGGGCTCAAGTCCTGCACAGAGGCTRAATGTCCCTTAGCTTCAATGGGATGACTGGATCATGGTCAGCTTCTCATCACTTTGGTCAAAAGGTGGACTGGGAGGGCATCCTCCGCACCCCATCTGGGCTGCAGGACCCTATCCATCCTCATCACTTCCTGATGCATTTGCCTTTGCCTTGGTAGGGTCTAAGCCTAGCTTGTCTGGAGTACCTAAGTGTCCCCAGTTCTCAGCATTGCTTACACATAGGACAAATCTTCCTTCAGTCACCGTTTAATTGCATTGCATGAGCAGTCTCCCAGTTAGACGGCCGGGCAGCACAAGGACACACATCATGCTCTTGCAAAGCCCAGCTGTAGGCATGGGTGGCCTTGGCCCAAGTCTTGCCTTGCTCTTGCTGATGTGAATCCAGCAGTAACCGGTGACAACCGGAAGCTCTTCAGGATTTACCCTGATGAGCTCTGTGGGAGGAGTTCTGCCCTGCAGCCTTCAGGAGCYAGGGAGATGCTGGCTGTCTGCTAYGGCACTTCCTCAGTCCAGGTTATTATTTATTCAAAAAGATGTTCCTCTGCAGCAGTATTTTAAGCCTACAGCTAACCAGGTCCATGGTGGACTCCAGAAATAGCCCCGCTGTGTGCCAGCTGCTGATCCATTATTGAGAGGCAGACGTGGGATGGGAGCCATGGCTGGTGTCTGCTAGGGAGAGAGACAGCGAGCTGGTTCTTCCTGGGCACCGGTGTCACCATGAAGGCTCTCTGCATCCAGAAGCTCAGCAAGGACATTAGAGCTTTGTGGTGCTGTGACAGGCAGCATTAAGGGCCAACTGATGTCCCAGGTGTCCACCGGCAAAGGTGAACTGCTCAATGCCGAAGCTCTGGCTGCTGAGGTGCCATGGGCTGGGCTAACATCATCCCAACTGATCAGGGTGGCTTGGGAAACCTTCTCCTTGGCCTAGGGAAGTGATGTTGGGGTGATACTGTGGCGATATGTTCCAAGGCTCAGTCTTGGKCAGGGGCACACACTAACATGATCCAGAGCAGCTGATGGCACCCTGAAGTTGGGTGTCCAAGTTGCCAGTTGGAGGAGAGCCACCCAGAACTGGCTGGTTGTATCCCCTAGGATATCTGCCGACATTAGGCCAAGTGCTGTTACTGCGTCTGATGTTATGGTCATCCCATCGGGAACTTGTATGCATGCTGAGCTCTGCTGGAGGGAGGGGAGCAGGATGGGGCTGATGTCCAGAAGATTTAGCTATCAAGAACATCTGCCTCCCAACAGTCCCTGCACTATGACCCATCAACTGTATTTGGTCTCTGATTGAAATACAGAATTTCATACAGTGAGCAGCATTTTCGTGCTGCATCTAGCAAGCCGTGATCAGAAACAGAGAAAGTCGTATGAAGTACAAAGCTGAGCTAGGTTCAAGGAGGGAGGTTTGAGCAGCCTGATCTTCTACTGTTGCCCAAGGATAGCTCACCTGCACAGTGGGGAGTGGGGAGTGGGGAGCAGCATCCAGAGCAGTACGGATGCATTCCCTTAAGAGCTGAAGCCGGGATGATAGCTGTGAAGTGCCCATCAGAATTAGTGAATTAGGAATGCGGGATATAGAAAATGGAAACAGAATCCAGCGTCAAAACTATGGTGCTAGGACAAATGGTGTTAGATTATTGATCATTTGTACAAAGCGATTTAAGCCTAGGGAGAGTCATGACCCTCACTATGACTAGAAATGGGTCCAGATTCTGAAAAGTAGATTTGAGATGTTCAGCTGCACTAGGATTTCATGTTTTGATTGAGGTTGTCTAAGAGGAGCAAGACATAGACTATTTTCCTTAGTTCCAGTTTYTGGGACATTTGAATTCAAGGTTTTGGGGACAGAGACCTCAGAAGCTTGTTTGAGTGGAGTGCCTTTGTACTGGAACAGGTTATGGAAATGCTGCATGATGTTGTCAAGATCCCTGGATCCAACTCTAATCTGTCACTGAGATTCCCTTGAAAGATATTTTACCACCTCCATTTGATACCTACCTACCAATATATCATTCTACCCAAGCTATTTTTTCTAGGTGGTGGAAGGAAAAAAAATGTTCTAAGAAAGTGCCGAATACGTAACAGTGGCTTCCCAGCAGCATGGTCATAGGGTGAATATTCCCTGTGGAAAGCACAGCTTATCCCCTCACTAACTGTTGATGTGACATCTTTCACCTATCATATGCCCTTCCAATTTGGCACATCTCTCTCCTAATTTGCTTTGTTGGTGCTGCCAGACCGCAGGTTTAGTAGACACTAGAGGATCTGCCAGTGAAGCTGAGCCCTGGCTCYCTTGGTAACATTCACGAAAGCAGGATCTGAATGGTGGACCCCAAACGGACCTCGGGTTTTTGTTCAGGGTAAATAGCAACCTCGGAGTGCAGGATAGGTGACTGGAAGGAAGGGGTGGTGGTGGTGGGCCCTGACACGTTAGGGAAGATGAGATTGAAAGGGGAGCTGGAGAAGCCTTTCCACTGCCACCCAAGGGCAGAGTGYGAGGGGCAGCGCGGTGGCCCCGTTCCTGTCTCTGTTACTCCGGCGAGTAGTCTAACTCATCATTGGCAATCAGGGCCTCCGAATTCTGTTTGTGTTTGCCTTTGCTTTTCGATTTGCTACTCGTCCGATGGCTTTCCTTTGCTCCCGTCATTTGCTGGTAAGAGAAGCCTTTGTCCTCAGAAGGGCCCCAGTCCTGGTAGTTCTCGCTCTCATTGGCGTAGGAGAAGCCGTCATCCACAGAGAAGGGGTCGACGTCCACGTCGTAGCGCTGGTAGGTGCTCTGATGAAGTGCCTCTTCCCGGGCACTGATCTCCAGGGTGCTGTTCCACATGCCATAGCCGAAGTAAATGAGCAAGCCTGCAGGGATGGGAAAGAAGGAGAAGATCTGGCTGTTAATTGTCTCTGGAAGGAAAGGGGCTGGCACTGGAAAATTGTGTGCTCCAGCTCCATTGGACACTCCTCTGGTTTAAATAGGGACAGTGCAGGTGACCACAGGGACCTGCCTTCCTCCTGCTGCTGCTTCCCTTAACTCTGCCTCCTCAGCCMCAGCTAACAACGCACGATGCCTGGATGTGGACACCTGCCCGAGGCTTTGGATCATGTATGAGTCTCCTCTCATCAAACATGAGGTTGGCTCAAGTAGATGAGGATTAAAGACAAGTAAGTGTATCTATATTCTAAAAGCTCTGACTGTTTTGATTGATAGATTTGATTCAAGGTCTTTGAACCTTGTGATTATGTTTTCAAGCTTTTATCTATGACCCGGGTTATAATATTTTAAACATTAGCTGTGATTGCTACTTAACCAGATGATTCTGCCTTCTTTAGCTCTAAGAAGGAAATCAACTTTCAACAGACTTTTACTTGTATCCTAAATGCTAAAAAGAACCCTGCCTTTCCATCCCATTATCCTCCCACATATCCTTTTCTCTGTGGAGTTTTCTTATGTTCTTAGTCTCTCTCTTGCTGGTATTTTCAGCCAAACACACCCCAGGGTTATCAGACTAAGTATATTTGGTATTAAAACAACTCTGAAATTCTGTCCCTTCATCTATTTTTTTTTTTTTTTTTTTTTGCCAGGTCTGTATTTCTCATTCTCTCTCTCTCTTCAAGCCCTTCCTATTTACACACACCAATGCTTTTCCCAGAAACAAATGTATCTGGAAATCTGAATTCCTAATTGGCAACAGATCCTGGAATTAACCTGCTGCAGATGTGTCAGTATAGAAATCTGAGCCCATGGACTGACAGTGAGTAACAATGTTTGCAAGATCAAATTGAATGTCCATGCAGAAAGACTGCAAATCTCAGCCAGCAGTGCAATTTGACATGAAAACACAGGGGATCCACCTCCTGTATCAGGYTAGAGGCTCCATCTCTGCTGCGGGTGTGGAAAGCGAAGCCCATTACGTTGTAGTGAAATGATTTTATTGATGTTGCCATTTCTGGTAGCCAAAGAGGTATTGGTTGTGTCCCACAGGGGAAAGTATTTAAAACAGCAGATTAAGCTGATGCTTTGAAGGCATTTTGCTTTGAAGCTACAGGCAGAAGGTCTTTCAATGGATCTGCAGCTTCATCTATTTCTTTTAAGGGCTGAGAGGCTTTGAGTGTGTAAGCTCAGACCAAAGGATTCATGKGCAGCTACTGATGAGCAGCTGCACTAGGGGTTAGTGACCTCYCTGAGCTGATGCTCCTGCTGTGGGACAGAAGAGTCCACAGAAACAGAAGTGGCGGAAAAAAGGATCTGTTGTCTCCCAGCAACTTCCCCCACCAGAGGAGAGAAACTGTGAGACTCTCCTCTGAGATGCCAAAAGGGAGAGCTGAAATTTGTCAACGTCATCGCCTGGCTCTGAAAATCAGTGAAACCCCTGCAAAGAGCAGGGGCCACCAGCCAGGTRGGGCTGCTTTGAAATACTATCTCTAGATCAAGTCATTAGGACTCTTGTATGCTGCTGCAATATATACAGGTAATCCTATTTCTCCAGGCTCTTGAGGCTGGGGTAGCCAATTACCTTGGGGTAGCCAGGGATTTTGGAAATGAAACACTGTGATAGCAGTGTGGGCTGCTGAAAGAACTCACTCAGGTGGGTGGAATAGGAGAAAAGCAGAGAGACTTCTGTCAAAAACCTGCCTGCAAGGCAATTTTCAAAACCCACCTACTTTTCATCTAAATCTCATCAAAACTTTCTCCTTTCCATTAAACACTCTATTTCCACCAAACTGACATTTTCTGGAGGTGTAATTCTCCAGATGGCTGTAGCTCTGAGTCTTGATTAACTGAGGTTTGTAACAACTTTGGGATTACAAAGCAAAAATGCAAAGGAGTGGAAAAGCAGCCATGCCAGCCTAAGTGCTCCAGTTAGCAAAGTTACTATTAATGGCCTTTTAAAAGCAGGGTGGATTAATAAATAAATGTAAGACTTACCCACAAAACACCAGACAGCAAATCGGATCCACGTGACCGTGGAGAGCTTCAGCATGAGATAGATGTTCACCAGCATGGCAAACGCGGGGACGAAAGGGAGGCAAGGTGCCATATACGGCAGCTTTTTGGGGTTTTCTGGCTGCTGTAAGATCACAAACACCAGTACAGCAATGAGCAGGATCATCAGCACCACCAGCAGGACTGCCCACCAACTCTGCTCGTAGATGTAGTCAGCACCGAAAATGATGAAAGAGCAGAAGATGAACATCAGGACGAAGAGCAAGAGCACGCACGTGGTGACCGTGTGGCCGGTGGCTGCAGTCGGGCGGTCCATTTTCCCRGGCAGGCCAAGGTGGATCCGCATTGTGTAGTAGCGTGGACCAATTAACTTCTTCAGCTTGATGAGGTAGATGTTCTCAGACTCATCTGCCTCTATGCCTGAGGTCATGTCGACCGTGCCATAATTTGGGTGATTGACGCTGTAGGTGGATTTATCAGATTTCCCTATTAGCATCTCGTTGTCCCCCAGTGATGGCAGATTTTTTGCCCCACACGTGTTGGTTGGTTGGCCTGTAAACTCTTCTCCTTCACTCCCTGGAGAACAAGCTTCCTTCTCACAGTCAGCGAGGATGCCCTCCTTCTTCTTGGTGTGCTCCTCAGAGAGGAATTTAACAAAGCCGTCAATGTCGCTCTCCGGCTGGTACCGGAGGAGCAGGACGCAGACGGAGACCAGCGTGTAGGCAAGGAGCGTGCCGATGGACATCATTTCTATGAGGTCCCGCAGGCTGACCAGCAAGGAGAGCAGTGCTGCTAGAAATCCTGAGACAATACAAGCCACTACTGGAGTTTCCGTGTAGGAACTGACGTGGGACAAAAATCTGGAGTGTGAAACAGTCACAAAAAGTTAAAATTGCAGATCACAGAGGTTCCTGTCATAATAGCACCCACCCAGAGGCAAAGGCTCAGAGCTGGCTCACATCTATGATCACTTCAGCTCTCATTGCTTTTTGAAGCTTTAGCTCTACAGAGCCACAGACTGGAAATAGTGCTGAGGCCGAATCTGGAGTTGGATCTAGCTCTAACCAACTCTGCAATCTGAAATATTCACCTGGCTACTTGCAAGTGCAAAGCAATAGAACAGTTTCATGCACAGAGCCTGCACACCTTCACAAATAGCTCCTGAACTGAACATTCATCCTTGGATGAATTACATCTTGAGACACCAACACAAAACACAAGATTGGAGGGAGGCTGGATAGACTGAAGAGACCCAGGGCAGGGCTGCCACTTCCCCTTGGGTTAAGGACGGAGGGGAAGAACCTGCACTTCTGTTGGCTCCTTGCACTGCAGGTAACTCTTGGGCTGTCTGTGAAGAGGCAGTGGTGGTGCAGGTCTATGGGGCAGGATCATGCTGGGAACACGCCGGGACACGCTCTCCCAGGGCATGGCAGTGCTGCCTTAGGTYAGCTGGGCCCATCTGTTCCTGCCTGTGCTTTGCATGTGTGCATGAGAAACTTGCCACCAGCTACTGCATCTGTAGACCTCTTTCCTGGGATTTTGCTTTGGTCCATGTGCTGCTCTGCAATCACTGAGTTTGTCCGTGACCTTGTGCTTCCCATGCTGAGGGTGCCTGGTTGTCAGGACAGGGGAAAGCCCTGTCCCTGACACATCCCCTGTCCTTGTCATGAACTTATCCAGAGCTCTGCTAGCTAGCATCTGCCTGTGCTGCTCTGAGCCCGGTCAGGCATTCGCTCCCCATCTGCAGACCTTGTGCTGTTTGATTGCTCTAAGCATTAACAGGGAAGAACAGCCACAGAACTGACAGATTTCCATTGGAAAGACAGAATAACTCATATAGGATTTTGCATCCATCACTTATAAACTGATCTCATGCCAGAAAGCATCCAGGGAGCAAAAATAAATGACAGCAGAGGCATGACTGACCTGAAGAGCAGCCCGTCACCAGCCATGGCGTAAATGACTCTCGGCATGGGGAAGAGGGAGCCCAGCAGACTCACTGTTAGCCCTGCCACGGACCCGATGGCAACGATGAACTTAGCAGCGTAGAATCCGCGGGCCACAAACATTTCCATCAGAGGGGACTCGGTGTCAATGGCATCGTATGGCACCATCAGAGTGAGGATAACACTCACCTAAGGAAGATAAAAGAGCCGCAGGGCAGCACAGGTGTCAGGGCTGAGCAGCAGCATCGGACACCACTGAAGACTCTCAGGGCACCAAAGCTGCTGCTTGAGGATGAAAAGCCAAAAAAATTGTTTCAAGTCTAATGGGGCTCTGTGAGGTAGATAACACTGAATTCAGCTGTGTTCCCATGTACCAGCACCACACTACCAGCTGCTCCTTCTCCCTGGGGCAGAAGAAAAACTCAAGGCAGAATCTCTTGGGATAATATCCTAATCTCGTTGGGGAAAACCATCATCCTATGGGAGACGGCAGCTGGGGAGTTTCCTGTAAAATGACCACAATGATATTTTGCCCATTTCTGACTCAATTTTGCTGTCTTACAGTGAAAGACCCTGAACACAGACGTGCATATATAAGCACATGGAGAGGCTGGTCACTGCTTGTAGCACTTCTCCCACCCAGCTGCCCATGCTCGTTACAGCATGGCCAGTCCGCTGTGCTACGTGGGACCCTGTCCCACCTCTCCAGCAGTGGCTTTGGTAAAAGTGCTTCTTTTACCAAAAATGCAGCCCAGGGGATGGTTGCTGCAAACCTGCCGCTCTTCTCCTTCACGTTGTGCTCTCCTGTAGAGCTGGGGATGGAGGAGACCAGCAAAAGAAAGATGGAGGTGACCAGGCTGCTGCCACTCTTGAAACGGGCACAGGGATCTCGGCAGAATGAAACTAGCTGAGTCCTCTGCCCACAGAAATAGCCACAGCGAGGGCAAAGAGACATCTGACTCCATCGGGCACTGATGTAGTCACACAAATGCAGCTGATTCCTTGGTCTCCATCAAAGAAAGAGCTGTTGTTCCAGCGTCTGACTGGCACAGAGAGGGAGCAGCAGTGCACATGCCCCAGCAGGGACAGACACTCCTATATACATCTATGTGTAGATGTATGGGGGGTTAGTACTTACGGACACATATGCTGTCAAGCATGTGACGAGTGAGGCTGTGATGGCGTAGGGGATGGAGGTGTTGGGACTCTTGGCTTCCTCTCCCGTGGTAGCGATAATGTCGAAGCCGATGAAGGCGTAGAAACAAGTTGCTGCCCCTTTCAGCACCTGCGTGGAGAACCAGGGGTGTCAGAACCAGGAGGGATCACAGGGGAGCAGGTGACACCTTGTGTGTCCCAGATCAGAGATCCACGCTGCCCGGCCCCAGCCCTGGAAGGAATTTACATTTGGTTTATACTGTCTTCTTAAGGCAGGTGCTCGAGTTAAGGAGGCTGGCTCTGGCTCCTCTAGGGTTGAGGAGGAGTGGAAGAGGAGCAGAGCGTGTCTATGTGCACCTGGGCATTCCCATCCGTGGTGTGGTGCTGGCAGCGACCGTCACCCCGTGCTTTGAGCCAGAGAGTATTTCAGATCCAGCTAGAGCCTCTTGAGGCATCTGCAGCTCCCTAGTGACAGGCTACAAACCTGTGGCTCTGCCCCAGTCTGCTGGGAAATCCTGGCAGTGACAGATAAGACAATTAACCAATTTGAGGCATTCGTTTGTTTTCACAACATCCCGTCCCAGATCTGATTAAGTTAATATGGACTTGTCACATGTTTACACATTCCCTTTTAGCAACATTCCTAATGTGGTAGCAAAATCTGCTAATAGAGGAACCCAAATAGAGCGTAGACAGTCAGACGCGTGTTGCTTTCCAAATCACTTCAGTTGGGTTTGGAAGCTGCAAATCGGTTAGGAGCACATGCTGGGTATGCTTAGATGATGAATTATTTGTACTGTTTAGATATTTCATTAGGTTTTCTTTAAATGCACAAGATTAGCAAGGATATTTATAGGAAACAAATACTGAACCAGCCTGAAGACTGTATAGCTGTAAGAAGTGAGTCAGTTCGCAGTTACCACACCTTAGCACACACATCTAGCTAGCTAGCTGTATGACACATGTCCATCTCATCTCTATCCCATCAGTTTAGGACTGGAATATGCAGTAAAATTCACCTCCGTCAGAGGGCTATTTGTAATTAAGCTTTAAGCTCTTTTTGTGCTGCTTGGGGATCTCGTGCCTGTGCTGGGCCCACAGGTGATTTACATGCTAGAAGCAGAGTCAGATTTACTTTTTGCTCAATTTGAGAAGAAAATAACTAGCTGAAAATACTGGGAAGACTCTCAGTATGTTTTGGATAAGTATCTTAAAAACAAAACAAAACAAAACAAAACAAAACAAAACAAAACAAAACAAAACAAAACAAAACAAAACAAAACAAAACAAAACAAAACAAAACAAAACAACTTTTTTGCAGGAATTATTTGGTAGGTTGAATCTGGACAAAACAGCTCTATTCTGTTTTCTCTATTTCATTCCTGTTATATGGTATAAAAGGCCAGGCAAAATCCAAAAGTAAATACAACCTCCACTCTTAGATGGGCCTCAGTGTATTTGCAATAACTGCCTTTATTCTGGCAAGGAGATACTGATTTATTGAAGGGAGATGAAGGGTAGGTATAGCCGCTTGGGACCCTCTCAGTAATCAAGATTCTTAGTTTACTTTACTTTATTGCTTATTTTTCTGCACAAGACCCTGATGGAGTTGAGCAGTGTAAATCTGAGAAATTATCTTGGGCTTAGGCCAGCTGAGATATTTTCAGTCTCTGTTCATCCTTGGATAAAAACCAGTCCAAGCAAGCGAAAAAAGCCAAATATGTCCAAATTCTCAGTAAGCTTTGAGGGAACATCCATAAAATAAGCACTGGCAGGTGGCGTTATGAAGTGCTCAAAACAAATGCTTGAGAACATTGTTATTGAAAACCAGCCAACACAAGTATCTCCCCCTTTCTGAAGAGCTTGAGCTAGCTCTTCCTTTCTTGAAGGACTTAAGCGTCTTCCTATGTTAAGCCRGTCTGTTAATGGCATTCCCTTGTGTCCATATGGTTTTATGGGCACTTTGGCTCTCTAGGAGGGAGTTCTGGAAGATAGCTAAGCTCTGGCAGGAGATAAAGGCAGACCATTGCTGTGTCCTTCGGGCTTTACAGAGCTAGGGATGTGCAGGAGCAATGATGGTTCAAGGAACGCACAACACTCACCCCTGGCCATCCAAATGGCAGGAATTGCCCTTCAGACCAGTTGTCACCCTTGACAAAGAAGAGCCCGGCAATCATGATGAAGATCCAGACTACCAGGTTAATGACGTTGAGCACGTTGTTGAGACCCACTGAGTTCTTCACACCCATGGCCACGATGATGGTGACAATGACAGCAATAACCAGAGCAAGGAGGTCAGGGTATGATTCCTCTCCTTTCCCTGCATTAAAGAGAAAAAGTGTTTAAATCTTCATCCACAGTGAGGTAAAACATCTCCAGAATCTCTGTGGGTTTTCCTAAATGCTTTTCAGTTTCTGAAGCAATATATGCTTCAGAACTTGCTCTTATTGCAAAGGACCCTGGTGGGCCTGGTCTGTCTCTGCCTCTGCTTGCTAAGGCTGTTTTATGGAGATGATAAATCATGCTGCCTGAGACACCTTTAGAAACTTTAGGAAGGCAGCAAACAAATAATCAGGTTTTGGCTTGCAATAATGTGTATCTGCCAACTACTAATGAAAAAATCCACCCTATATTAAAGTTGCATGAAACTGTTACGGGACAGCGATCTATTGTTATTTACTGGTAGGGAGCACGGAGCGTTGCTGAGTCGCTGGCTGTGGAGGAGCACCACAACATCGAGTTCACATGCCTGCACTGCGGACACTGCCTCGTGCTCTCTGAAAAGGGTCTGAAAGGGAATATTGCTTCAGGGTTGTTCCTGTGTGAAAAAGCCAGGATTTGCCTGCTCTGGCATCGTCCCTGTCTGTGTCCTTGTCCATAGAGCAGCTCTACACTCAGGACACGTTGAGAGACGGTGCAATTAGACAGAACCATGCATATGCTGCGGGTTTGCCTTTCCGCTGCTGCAGTTCAGCAGTGCTCAGAGACATTGCTTTCCTGTTTTCCTGACATTACAGATGGAGTCCATATGACTCCTCAGTAACTGAGGTCTGGGGAAGCAGACTGGATTGCCGGGCTGCTGCCGCGGTCCCTCTGCATGCAGGCTCCAAGCCGGGGTGGCATGGGGTCACATGGGACCTCATGTCCGTGGAACCAAGGAGTGTGTGTGTGAGCCCCTGGTGCAGCTGGGGGAGGAAGATGCCTGCAGATGGCCTGGTAGGGTGTCTCATACTGCCCTGATTAGAAACAGTGTGAGGAAACACATCACAACAACAATCTGGCAGGGAGATCTTCCTTTTCCAGGCAGAGTATAAACCAGAGAGGGATGGAGGCTGAAGGACTAGATCAAACCCTAACCAGTTCGAGGTACATGCCCTAACCTCATCATCCAAGCCTGTCTTGAGCTTCATTCTGGCTTGATATTTAAATATGAACTTGCAGGTTCAAACGCATTCCTGGTAAAAAGAAATCTGTCTATCCCCTCCAGTGAAAAGACCAATGCAATGGTCCTCTGCTACTGAGGTGGGACTAGTCTTTCAGGGGAGTTTGTGCTGCTCAATGCCAGCTCACTCCAAAGGGAGCTCAAGCTATCCGGATCGCATATCCCAGCCCCTATGAACAGAGTCCCTGAAGCCAACTGCAAAAGGCAGATAGATGGTAAATAATGAATGAACCATAATATCCATGCCTCGCTTATGATGAGCTCCCACTTGCTTTTCAGGCCCTAATGAACGTAGGTAAGCGTGCAGGGGAAGACGTGAGTGCTTGTGGAGCGGCTCTCACCGAGGCCGTTCAAGGTGCCCACGCTGCTGATCATCCAGCGGCTGATGGTGTGGTTGGCCAGCGAGTCGAACATGCTGCTCAGCGCGCTCGCGCCCGCCGCCGTGCCGATCAGGTACTCGAGGATGAGGTTCCAGCCGATGAAGAAGGCCACGAACTCCCCCACTGTCACGTAGCTGTAGGTGTAGGCAGAGCCCGTGGTTTTGGGCACCCGCACACCAAACTCAGCATAGCAAACACCTGTTTAGAAAAATACAAAGCACCATAAGAGATGGCTGCAGAAAGCAAGGGATAAACAGGACTCCTAATGCTTTGCAATGCAGTTTGATCTATTTGGGGCATTTCTTGTTTTAATTATTGTTGTTGTTGTTTTAAAATAAAGGTGTAACAGGGTATATTTGCTGGGTGCTTCTGTACCTCTGCCCATTCCCATCCCAAACGAGATTATATGAGATACAGGGCTGACAGTCAACCCCCAGGGCCAGTGAGGAGCTCAGAGAGGTGATATGAAATCTGTCCCTTGCCAGGGCCACGCTGAATAGCAGCAGCTGTAGGATTTTTCTCATGAGACAGCTGTCTCAGGTGCACCAGGGATCACTTAGATGTTATTTACTGCATGCCAAGAGGCCCAGCTTGCTGGCAGAGAGCTCAAGCATGAGATGGGGTGCGAAAGAGAAGAGCGCTCAAGTCAGGTAGGGTCATAGTTGCCTCCTAGCTCTTCCCTCAGAGATGTTTGTGAATCAGTGACGGCCGCTGTCCGAGTGATGTCTGTATCCCAGTCTGGAGATGGAGAAGGTCTTTGGCTGGGAAATTCCTGCTGATGGCACAGGAAGGGGTGGCAGTTGTGGGCACGTTGACTGCTCCTGTCCATTTGGAGTTTGCTCCTTGTTGGTCAGCTCTTTGGAGCGACTGAACATCTGAGAAGGGGCAGAGGTGCCAACCTGATCCCAGAATGTGCCTCCGCAGTGGGATGCAAACAAAGCTCATCCCGACTGTATGCGGTGCTGCTCTCCAGTGACTCCAGCCTTTGCTCTTGGTGAAAGCTGAGAAATATTTCATTGTCCTCAGCAATCTTCAGATCTTATCTCTGGACTGACATGCAGCAGCCCTGATGTGGCTTGATCTTCAATAGCATAAATGGCACCGCTTGCCTCTCAGTTCTTCCTCTGCGGGATGGTGTCTGGCAGCCCTTTGCACTCCAGACTCTCCTCCCCAGAAAAGGATGCAATTTTATATCAGCTAGAGACAGCACCTCCGTGCCTGCTCCTGTGCAGACCTTGGCAATGGCACAGTCTGCATCGCCCTTGTACCTGTGCAGGGTGAGACTGAGGCTGTCTTGCATAGTGAACGCAAGCTATCTGAGCAGTTAAATGCTATGTGTAAGTCTCAGTCTGAAGAATAATTGTAAAATGGAGTCAAAATAAAAATAATAAAAAAAGAAAAGAAGCATTTAACTGGAGTTGTTCAGGAAATTTCAGGAATCTCAATACTTTCCGAACTCCTTGTGCAATTACTATGTTAGGATACTTTGCAATAAAAGCCATGACCCCAGTACACTGCTGTCTTAAAACAACCATTAACTTTTGATTAAACTTAATGGATGGATTTAGTCATAAATTCTCAGAATATTAGTCAGAACAAGGGCTTGAAGGCTACACTGCATTCTGTATTTTTAACACCAATTAAGTCCTTCCTCCTTCAGCTAGGCCGTGAGCTCAGCAACTCAGCAAGCTCTGCCTCCCTAGTTAACAYGGTGTCACAGGGGTTAAGGGTTTAGGGCCTTTATTATTGTTGTGCAAACATGTGGTATTTATTGAATTCTTCAACAATTACCATTTTCTATTTCAAAAGTAATACTTGCTTCAAATTTTCATTCTGTTCAATATATAAAGGAGAATGAATAATCTATAATAGCTTTATGAGGTGGCTGCTCTTTTTAGAGGTACAGTTTTTACACAGTACAAACACAAAATTATGGAACCATAAGCTGAATTCAGTGACATTTCTTTTCTTGTAACTCTGTTTTTTTTTTTTTTTTAATGCTGTTCACTGCTTAGTTTGCAAGCATGATGCCAGGGGTGTTTTTCAATGGGGATACTTGAAAACTTCATTTCTGTAAAGCAGCTCCAACTGCAGGCAGAAGAGGACAGCCGAGCATCCATCCCACATCCAGTCATTATTCAAAGCTGATTAAAAATGCATGCAATCTGCAGACGTAAGATATTCACAGATAACTACATGCCTGAATGATTTATGAAAGAGATGCTGTGATGGGGACAAGTATCTAGTTTCTGTCTTTGATGGCCTTAAAAATCATATAATCTTTCTTGGAGGCAGCTCTACTTAGGACCAACAACAAGATAAGAGGATTATTATTGATACAGGAAGATAATAGCAAAGCAAAGACATTAATATATCTAAAATGTCTTGAGTGTTCAATCATTCTACTAGGGGTCTGAAATAGAAGAGTAATCTTTCTCTGTGAACTGGGCAAAATATGCTGCACGTATGAGCATTAGATAGAAGGAAACATGTAGGAAAATAAACTATTTCTGTTTGATCATGTTGTATTCAGTGCCAGGCACGAGGAGGTAGGAGATGAAAGCTCTGATAGTTCTGCTCTGGCTGCGTCAGGGGACATCAGTGAGATCCTTCTGCCTTGCTGGGCTACAGCTTCTCCATCAGAAAGGGGCTAACAACTCTTCCCTCGCCATGAACTGCTTACCAAAAGGAAAATAATATTAATAACTTGGTAAGGGGAAGATCTGATCTCACTGAACTCTACTGCAGTGGACTGGTTCTGAGCAAGCAACTGCATTATTGATATTCAATTAATCTGCCTTAGGAAGAGCATATGGTACCAAGCTGATGGTTTCCTGTCCCCTTTTTCTCTTGACTTGAAATATATATATATTTTTTCCTTCTATATATATATATATATATGTGTATATATATATATTTATTTCCCCAATTGAGAGTGATTGCAGCTTTCTGCAGAAAACAAACCAACAGAGCAGCTGTTTGGAAGAGCTGTTTTTTTTCATGGAAATCCATTTCTTTTGCTTGAATATCAGCTCCACTGGGTAATTGGTAGAGCAATCATTACGCCAGCATAATTACATAGTTGCTAGTATATTCAGAGGGCCATAAACACAGCTGAGTGATTTTGGTCATGACCTTGTCCCTTCTGAGATCCCATCTATAACCTCCCATTTTTAAGACTTAATTTATTTCTCCATTCTCTGGTTCATCTTGCTTGAGTTTAACTGGAGTTAAGGTAGCCCAGGCTTTGTGTGAAGCACAAGTGGCCAGAGTTAGATGTGTTTTCTGCTCAACTCCCCTCCCTGTCTTTCTGGCTATTGCTTGAATATCCAAAGCCCCAAGCCCAGCATTGCACCATGAGCCGTCCCATGGGCGCTGTGCTGCTACCGTTCCACATGGAGCAGGTTATGGAAAAGCTTTGAGGCTTTCTGCTGGCTGGATGCTCACTCATGCTGACAGACGTGCTTTTGGGGTGCTTGCAGCAGCGCTGCAGGTAACACTAATAAATTCATGCTTCTGAACAAGTAATCTACAGGGACCATCCTTCAGCAACCCAGCACAGCCATTTTATTGAGATCAGCAGGCAGCAAAATCTTCTTTCTAACAAGGCACTGAGCCACCCTCGTTTGTCTGCTGTGCTTCATGGCCACTATCTGCAAATGTATAAAAGGGAACTCCAGGGATAACACTTCCTTAGGAAAAGGTCCCSCAGGCTGCAAGGACAGGTGGATGTTGTTTGGCCAGTTGATTTCAGCAGAAACCTGAAGTCTCTTAATTAGCTAYCACAGGTGCCCCAGCTCCAGCCTCCTTCTCACGCAGTTCTCAGGAGGGTGCTGATCTCCATCCTGCATTGGGAAGTCAAGTGCACAGCAGGTTTTTGTGGTGATGCTCTGGGGGGAGTTTGCACCAAGTCTCTGTTTGTGGGGGTCCTGGTAAGGACATGCTGCAGCGATGCAGCTCAGTCCTTGCAAGCTCCCACTGCTGAGGTGGTGGAGATGCTCTCGAGGGAATGATAGCTCCTCTTCTCTTGCAGGAGCCTGATACTAAAGCCTGCAGGATTGTATGACAGGCAAGACTATCCTGTGCTCTCAGGGTAGCTGTAACCATTAGAAGGGAGGACCTGACTCTTTCCCAAGCAATGAGGTTTGCAAAATATAGTTTACAAGGTTTTATTTCTTTAAGGAAAGAGAATATTAAAGGTGTAAGGAGAAGCTGCTGGAAAAGGCTGCAAAGAAAATAATGGGTCTGGGTAAGATGAAAACTGCTGATTTTTCAAAGAAGAGGGTTTGGTTAGATGGTGTCAGGGTTGTGAGGCCTGACTGGAGCAGCAGACTGAGGGAGTCTGCAGCATCTCCTGCACTGGAGGCTTTTTGAGGAGGAAGTTGGATGAGCATTTTTGTTTGAGAGCTAAATAAAAGCCTTCCAGAGAGAGAATAAAAGGGACTGATTTGATTTAATCTGTTTGGAAGAACAGAGAGGGGAAGTGTCTGTAAGTACCCTAACAGGGAGCACGATTGCCTCGTATCTAGAGGAGACCATAAGTGGAATTTGCCTGAAAGACAAAATCAGGCAAATCTACATGTGAAACTGGGAAAAAATCTTGAAAAGTGCGGGGGGATTTACCACTGGAACAACCTGCCCGGGGCAATTCTTTGTGGATATCTCCAAAGCAAGCTGAATGGTTTTGTGAGAGGAGTAATGTAGTTGAACCCTCTTGAGCTCAGTTTGCAGGTAATGGGATGTTAGTGATTTGTGCTATGCAAAAGAAAAGAAGGGGCTCAAATTGTCTTGTTTGGCCTTAAAGCTGTGAGTTTAAGCAGCTCTTTCAAATCTGTCTATCCATACTTGCCTGAGCTGAGCACTTTCCATGCCGGGAATAACAGCTAAACACGAAGGGAAAGCTGACCTGCTCCCCCAGTTAGCTGGATATCCCTTCTAACTCCTGAACCCTTGCTCGGTTTTACTTGCCAAAAATGTGTTGCTGTTACAAACAGCAGAAGTGTCAATGATGGAGTGAGGAAGCAGCCAAGGACACTACGAAAACACTGCATCCTTAGGAAAACAYTTTCCCAGGGCTACAAAAGCAACTTGAGATGGTGGGAGAACAGTAAACAGAGTGGGCCMCGTAAGTCTCCCATGCAGGCGAAGGCAAAGGACCCTCAGAGCTTTCACCTAAGGTGAAAAAACACCTTTTGGAGCATCGTGTGTTTCCAGATGAGGCCCACCCAGGCTCTCCAGGTTTCTCAGTCTGCTGTTGGTGTGTGTCATGACCACTGAAGCACTTAGAAACAGCAGGCAGCAGGGAATAACAAAGACACTGATGCTATTTACTGCCTTGGCTGCTTTTTTTTTTTTTTTTTTTTTTTTTTTTTTTTTTTTTTCCTTCCAGTTAAGTGGACTTCATGTTTGGGGGATATCAGATAAGCATCAGATCTTCTGGGCAAAAAGCCTGAATTTAATCATGCCATTTTATCTTTCTTATTGGAGCCTGTTGTTTGTTTGGCTTTCTGGGACTGAAATGAGAAGAAAAAATCCCGTGATTTCCAGAAGATGCCGCTGCAAAGTGTGAAGGTTTCCCATGCATGTCCAYGTCCTGGGGCTTTAGCCCGATGTCATGGCTGAGTCCTGGCACGGGTAGGGTTGGTGGCACGAGCTTTGGACCTCATGATGGCTCATAAGCTCCTGTGAGACTCTTCCCTGTGGTACTTGCCTTTCCCTAGGAAAACCCTGTGTCTTTAAAAGCCAGGCCAGGTCCTTTTGCCGTGGCCACTGTCCCTGTCTCTCCTTTGCTGCCTGCTCGAGCTTCCCAGCCCGGCTTGTGCGGGAGGGCTCAGAGTCAAGCTGACCCAGGGCCATGGTGCCCTGAGTGAGGGAGCTGGAGCATCGCCYGCCCGTGTTAGTGCCGGGCTGGAAAGGACGGACACCGGGAACRCTGGTGTCCTGGGCTCTGCTGGGCTTGCGCACACAGCGAGGAGCTGTCACCGTCCTGGCCCACCTGCTCTAGGTGACCTTGAGTGAGCAGGGCAGGCAGACCAGGTGATCTCCAGAGGTCCTTCCACCTCCAACAGCTCTGTGGATTTGCTGACTTTTTGTTAAAATGCGAGTTTTTTATTTTTCCCCTGGATAAACTGCAAAAAACAATTTAGCAACAGTGGAACTGCTAAAGTGCCCACCAAGAGAAGGTGCCTTGGCTGCCAGCCAATGCTAGCTGGCGTTTCAAGGGGCACTAACCTCCACTCTCTGCTAGGGGCAGCCACCAGCTGGTTGAGTTAAATATGCATTTAGGGCATATTTAGGGCGTATTTTGGGCATATTTTGGACCAGCGCATCTCACCTGACAGGATGGAAGCCACRGCAGCGATGATGAAGGAGACGATGACTCCGGGGCCCGCCATCTCCTTGGCCACCAGGCCGGACACCACGTACATGCCGGTGCCCACGCAGCTGCCGACGCCGAGGGAGATGAGGTCGAGGGTGGTGAGCACCCGGGCGAGCTTGGCGCCCTCGCCGGCGCCCTCCAGCATGGACTCCACAGGCTTGGTGCGCAGCACGCGGCCGCGGGCCGCCCTCCAGCCCGCGCCCCACGGCACCCGCCGCGGGTCCAGCCGCCACAGCAACGCGCTCATGGTGGCGACRAAGGTGGTGGCGCCTCAGAGGCGGTGGTGCGGCCGCATGGCCCCTCCGCTGGGCCTGCTCTGGGTCTGCCRGAGAAAAAGCTCATGAAATGGCCACTTCTCGCGCGCCACAGAGCAGCCCCTCCCAGCTGCCACGCACTGCCCTGCAGAGCATCCGTAAAGGGCCCACAATATCCCGGGATTGCCATGAGAATCACAGGATTACTTGGTTTTACTCTTTTCTTTTTTTGCTCTTTCATCTTAAGGCAATGTTTTCACGCACTATTCAGAACCTGCCTTTTTCTCCCACTTTTTTTTTTTTTTTTTAGAATATTTACTTCTCAGGCCGGCTCTTAAGACCTGCAGAAATGTCTTCCTAGTGGTAGGTGGCTTATTGGCTTTAAGGAAAATAATGAGAATTGACAATCTCTACCTTTTAATATAAATGGACACAAAAAAATCTTTTATGGAATATGAATTTTAGCATGTTTTTCCTACTTGTGAATACAGATTTCTTTCTTTTTCCTTTTTTCTTTTTTTGCCTTGAAGACAAAATTATTTTTTCCAGCCTTATACCCCAAAGAAATTACACTGCGTCAATCCAGACAGACAGCCTTGTGTTGCTGGGGTCTATTAAATAAAATAGCGTGTTTGCTTTGTGTTCTAGTTGAGCTCAGTTTGAACTGCACTGAATTTTTATGTATTCTGTCCCCTACCTCACGTCACCACAAACTGCAAGGACTGCAGCTTAGTTTAATATTTTTAAGATAAATAGTAATGAAACAATTATTGCCACTTTTGAGCAAATGTCCATCTTTAGAATTGAAATGAAATCTGACTTTCTGGTCGTTTTAGACAAGTAAAGGAACTTTCTGGTTTGTGGCATGGGTCAGATGCCTCATTAGATGTTACTTTCTTGCTTGAATGTAGTTTCCCATGGGGAAGAGGCAGGTTTTTGAGTACAGGAGATGGGCACAACCCATCTGGACTTGCTGGAGCTCTGCTGATGTGCCCCAACATAAGGGACTGGCTGGTACAGCTGTGGTGCATCCATGTCTTTCCTGGCCTGCCAAACTAGGTGGCATCTGTTGTGTTGTGTGTGTGTGTCCCAGGCTGCAGAGTGCTCCCGGCAAAGGACAGGTAATGACCTGTCCAGTGCAGCCCTGGAATTAATAGAGCCCTCCCCAAGCTTTCCCTTCAGAAACTTCTAAAATGAAACAGCTTCATAGCTGCAGTTGTAATTTTGAGTTGAAGAAATCACTTGAAACCATTCCAGATGTTTAAATGAGACTGGCGTATTGCTGTTTTGCAGCATGAAAACTCTTGTTGCTCCACTCAAATCCATTAAAAAAAAAAAAAAAAACCTCATGGCCAGAAAACACTTACAGGAGACAGAGACAGCTCATTTCTGTTCTGCTCTGCTACTCTTGGTTGTCTAGAGATACGTAGCTAAGGCTGCAGACAACTTGTTTTTATTCTGAGAAGGAACACCAGGCATAGCTCAGTGCTGTGCATTAGGTCATTTATGGGAGGCCTTTGAACGAGACAGATCTGCATGTTCTACGTGGCTATATAAATTGCTGGGCCTTAAGAGACTTCTTTTCCTTCCATAGCCAGAAGGAAAGAAGTTCTTTATTTCTGGCTATAAATCCTCTTTTCATCCTAAAACACCAGTGCTCGAGGGAGTCTGCTGCAGTRTCAACACGGCTAACTCGGAGGGGGGAACCCGGGTTTGGGAGCAGTAGCTGAGTTTTTGGGTGAGAGGAAGTCCCTGTTTGCAGAGAGCCTGGTGGCTTTGCAGGCTGCGTCTCGCGGGCTGGCTAATGTTCTCACTGCACACTTATCAACCGGTGCTGTTTGTACCAAAACACTCTTCTTCATTAGGCTAAATTGACAAAAACAGCAATCAAGCCACAACTTGAGACATAGGTATTTGCAGACATGGGTCTCCCTTCACCTCTACTGACTCGTTGGGTGATCCCCACTGAGAGTGCTGGGCTTGGGGGGCACAGGCAGCCCTGGGGGAACTGGCTTTGGAGCAATATATAGGGCACCCATCCCTATTTCCACCAAGTGCCTTCTCTGTGTGGCTCAATGTATATTTTATACATAAATATATATATATATATATATGAGGTGGAGTTTGTGCACCCCAGTGGGCTGATGCAGGAATCACTCTGTGTAATGCTGCAGCATTGTTTGTGGCTGATTCTCCTGGCTCCCCCCTGCCTTCAGAGCAAGGAGATCATCCGAATGGGAGCAGGGAGGCACGTTCCTGCAAGCAGGATGGCACCTTGCAGCCAGGCTGCTGCTCATGGCACCTTGCAGCCACTGCTGGCGCTTGGCTGCAGTAGTTACTGGTCACATATTTGGGGCTTACAGTGGKTTTTTCACTCTTTTTTTCACATCTCTCATCCCTTCCTCCTTCCCATGATTAAGGCTGGAGGGCTAAAACAGCGTGAAAGTGCCTGACCCTTTCTTTGTCCACCACCCCCAGAGCTGCAGCAGTGGGAGATGTTGCCAAARTAAAGAGCAGACGAGGCGTCTGGGGCCTGAGAGTTACTCTGTTGATTTYTATGCTTAATACTGACCCTTTACTCAGGTGCATCTCCAAGCAAAGCCCTCCCAGTTGAAAACAAGTGAAGATGCCAGCAAGGTGAGAAGAAACAAGGCATCRGCGGCGATAAATTAAGAGCTGAGTAATTGCCATGCCAGCCGGCGCGAGCGGACGCGAGATGCGGATGGCTTCTCCTCCCGCACGCCYGCCGGCCCGGAGAGGCTGACGTCAGAGCCGCAATCCGGCGCCGCGTGGGCCAGGCGCAGCGGCGGCTGCTGCAGCTCCGGGGAAGCCTTGTGCCGGCTGCTCCTCACGCCAGTGCTTTCCTCCCCAGGGCAGCCGCGTTGGGAGCTCCATGCGCCTGTTTCCACGCTGCCGAGCCCCAGTTGTGCTGTAGGAGCCGGTGCTGCCTCCCTTGCAAAGCCCTGCAGAGGGAGGTGACGGGCGGGTGCAGAGTCTATGGGGTCTGCTGCCTCCACTGCCAATTTGGGGCTCGGTTTCTATCTGCACTTGAGCAGGTCTAATGCAGCTGCACTTAGTTTAAAACAAAATCCTCTTCTCTCTTGCTCTTCTCTGCTGCTTTACCAGTGTTAGCATTGCTGCATGATGGCTAAAGCTCATTATCTGCATTTGGCAAATGAGCAAAATGGAAGAGGAATCGTTTAACTTCACCAAAAATGAAAGGAAAAGATGCAACACATCCAAAAATTGGTCCTGTGGACTTAGTATTCCTGCCTCGTATTCCTGCCTCTGCATAGGTGCAAGAAAATGTCCTAACAATATACACAGACAAGCTAGTAAAATGATTACAAAATTAGGAAATTATTACTAATATTATTAATATTATTTTATTCCCTCTCTCCAACCTTGCAGCAGTTTTTCTGCTGCCATACTCCTAATAAGTCACTTCTACCTGTGGAAAACAGTTTTGAGCCTGGCAGCCTGGTTTTGCAATTGTTTTCTCTTTTCTCAATTCAGGTTTAAGTGGTGCACAGCCTATGAAGAGGTGTAGGGCTGGATACAGGATATGCATCACAGCCCAAAAGGCAGCGCTGAAGTATTACACTGTAAGTAATGCAAAATGCATGAAGCTTTCCATCCGTGTGGGCAAAAAAAGCTATTTAACCACCAGAATGGGGCGGGGGGGAAGAGAATTATGAAGAAAGTGGTATAATCAATTTGCACATTTCTAAACAGGTCTAATTTGTCATTGTTGTCTCGAGACAGCAAAGTAAAAGCCTTAGAATTATAATGGTGCTGCTAATGCAGGGAAATGGCAAATCAATGGGCTGGAGAGCTAAGCAGAAGATGGGGAGCTAGTTCTGACCACTCTCCCTTACGGGAATGATGAAGTTGCACAAAATGCCTAAATTTGTTTCTCCATCGCTAAAATGGAGGCAGCAGTTATCTTAAAGGAGTGCCTGAGTGGTTAATTTTGTTGGGTTTTCTAAGGCAGCTGAGGAGAAACCATGCTAAAAACCCTCTTACTGTTCTTTTAGCTGTGTCTTGTTAAAATGATACTGCTTTTTCTCCTGTGCATGAGAATCTGCAAATGGATCCTTCGCTCCCTTTTATTCATGTTAGCAGCTCTATACCCCGAGCTGTCACAGACGAAAAAGGCAAGTTCCTAGTATTAAAGTATCTTCTCATTTTCATAGCAAATAGCCTGGTATTAGTAGCCTCTCAAGGTACGTGGGGATCAGTTTAGAAGTATGACTGCTGTTAGTGTTAATGCGGGTCRAGTGGTTGCAGCTTCTTGTTTGGAAATCTGGGCTTTTTCCTTTTTGGGGGAGCAATGATTTTCGATAATTACTGCTTTGATGAAACACAGATTTTATGTAAAGAGTCTCACTATGGACACGGGTGCCTTTGTACTACCAAAATGATTAGATCTGGATTCCCAGACAGTCTTTTCTGGAACCATATTAATTTAGAAATGTCTTTCCTTTAATAACAGGCAGGGAGAGGGCTCTGTAATTACTTGGTTGTTCTTTCTTTTTCTTTCTGTGCAGATCCATACTTTTGCCTCCTGGAATGGAAGTCATTAYGCTTTGCTCTAGGCTAACCAGGAGAGCTTTTTCATTTGACATAATTCACAAAATGGGTTATTTATTAATGTGTGAAGCTCTCTAACTAAACAAAATGGATTTTTAGACTTGCAAGATCTGGCTGATGCATCATTATGACAACTTATTTCATCGCTGGGTATTGCTTCAGATCTCGGTAGCAGAAACACATATTGCATCTTTGAGTAAAATCCTGATTTATGCTTTTGGTTTTATCTTCCAGATCAGAAAGAAATGAAGATCTGTGTTTCAAATACAGAATGTTGCCATTCACTTTTTTTTTTTTTTTTTTTAATTCAGGCTCAGCTTAATTTTAGGCTAGGCTTCTGGAGAACTAAAATTTGGGGTTTTTTTTTCTGTGTTTAAAGCAGCTCTTGTGTTCTGCATCAAG